TATTTCCAAAGACACCGACATCCGCTTTCTATGCCTTTAAATACGAGCCGTACAAACGTAAAGATGGTATCTTACTTCAGAGAAAAAGAGCAGAAGGTGTGCTACAGGTTCAACTCTTTCAAGAAAGGAGAAAACTTATCAAAGAAAACCGAGATATTTTGTTGAGACACCCAAATATAGTTTCAACTGACAAGAACAGAGATCCGTGTTCTTCAAATGACATATATAATATTACAACAACCTGGAGGTCTGTCAGTCAATCAGAAGGAGAAATTCAATCTAGCATTGAAATTCCAAGAAAAGGTAATTAATTTCATCATCCGCAGTAAAATATGTTAATAATATTGTTCTCATATATTATATTTTAATAATAATAATATTATATTTTTTTCCAACAATTAATTTGCGCACATTAGTATCTGTTATAGAAGCTGATCCAACAATAGAGACTCATCTTTTGTATTTGCGGCAGCAATTGCACCATAAATTGACTCCACAGCTAGCAGCCTCTTGGGAAGCAACTTTTCAGTACAGGCGGAAACAACTAACAGATCAACCAGGAACAGTATGGGATTATTTAAACGAATATAAGTTTTTGCAAATTGAAGAAATCGGTAAAGCCTTAGTAAGTTTTCTTTATAAACTTAGTAATATAATGTGCTTACATCAAATATTTATTCGAAATGAATAGTATTACTTTTTATGTGGACATATCAATGAAATTACAAAACTTCCATATGCAGATTGAACAGGATTTCGACAAACTTTATCCCGACCTAGACCCTATAACGAAATACTCGGGGAATCTAGCCAAAAATTGTGAGAATCACAGACACGCCATTATCGCAGCAGCCTCAGTAGTTCTAAAAAAAACAAGCCAACAGAAGCATAGGGATACAGCTACCTCATTCTTTGAGTTGGCTAAACGTAAGTAATACATAATATATACAGTATACTCTTAGATTTTATAATATTTATTTCACTTTTTTAGAAGATTCCAATGTTACGCTTAGAGTGACTGGAGCTCTCCTTTTACTTTCTTTTACATTTCCTTATGTTCATGTGCACAAGACGTGGAGACCAACGAGAGTGAACATTGTAAAGTCTTTTATCGCGAGAGTCTATAGTGAAACGGAAGTTGAAGAACACATTGAACGCCGACGTAAGTCGCGGATAGAAATAGCAAAGTCAGCAAAAATATGTACATCTCTTCAACCTTATGTTTTGGCCATAGGTCCTACCTGGGATAATATCAGTCACAGTCACATAATTGTAGATAAAGTTTTATATACATGCAAAAACATTATAGAGGCTGCGGAACTTTGTTTTAAATTGTTTCATGTTTTTCACTCTGATTATCCTCCTGAAAGTAAGCACGTATGGCAATTGATACAACAAGGTTTTTATAAATTATTTATTAAGGATCATGATGTCAATCGACGAACGATTATGAAAGCTTTGGCTGATATTGGTATTTATATAGAGAAAAAAGAAGTTACACCGTTGAGAAAAAAAATAAAAAAATTATAATTTTAATATTATTTTTCTAAGACGTTCCATTGTCAAATTAGTCCTTAATTTTTATTTGTTAACTAATAATAGAATTGTTACAGTTTTTATAATTAATATTGCCAATATCTTGTTAAGTTACAATGTTTTGTAAAATATTTGAGAAATAATTTCGTTGAAGAGTAACACTCTTCTTTTGTCTAAGGTTAATTTCATTATACATAATTGTACTATTATTCTTATTTTCCTCTTTTTGTCTCATTATTGCTACAATTTATCGTGCATCATGCTAACGTGCTATTATTGTTCGGGAAAATTTAAAGTAATATTTGAAATATTAAAACATCTTCAACACACATGTTCAAAGTTTTCGTATTCCAACTCTTCCCGTGTTCGATGCGGAGAATTGGATGCTTCCGCATATTTGATTCATTACAAGTTCTTAGGATGCATTATAAAAGAATTCATGGTGCAATATCTACATATATTTCACAAAATAATGCTTCCATCTCTGATTCTGGTATTTCTACTAACGCAATTACTACGTTTGAAGAGAAGGTTGCACCAACACATGATTGCATATCTGTAGCGAGGAGTGTGAATAAAAAGATTGTAAGAAATAATGAAATACAAATGACCGATATAGAAGAAATAGGTTCAAATAGTGATGGCAGTATAGTACAAATGCAACCAATATCTAACAATCGAGACTGCTAATAGTATTTTTACTCGTGATTTATCTTTAATACTTAGTTTATTGTTAGCGGACCCAATTATTCCTAGAAAAACAGCTCAAACTTTAATCCGAAATTTATTACTTTTTATGACAAATTCATTGACGTTAGCTTCA